AGCTAGTTGGCCTTCAAACCTTGCTAGTAGGTAGAAGTACCATTTATATACGATGATAAAGAATATTCTTATAAGCATTGGTGGTATCTTACAATAACTCCGTGTAAAGATATTATGAATTTCTGTTGCTTGTTATTTTTCTAGAATCTTAAGGTACTACTTAAAAGTTCCGGATAAATAAAATTAAAAAGAGACGAAGGTGAGAGATTTTGTGACCTTATACAAAATTTGTAATAAGAAATTTCTAACCTATTAATATACATTGCTTAATGAATGAAAATAATTAGAAGTACCTGAAATAGGTTTTGTTTCTATGCGGTCATAGGTATCTCTCTGAATCCATAGTGTAGCGCTAATAGTAATGCGTAACAACGGATGAGAAATACGATAATACATTATTGTATTTCTCATGTTGTCATTGAAAGGTTTCAACAGTAAAACCTTGAAGGAGCAAAACGTTTTGTGTCTAACACTGTAAATATGACTGTATAGAACAATTTGTGTACAAAACACAATAAAAATTCGAGATGAGACGAGAGACCTGAATGTATCAGTACTTAGGGCAGCAAGAATCTAGTACAATTTAATGCTTCTAAAACATAGTACGTATTGTTCCTTGACTAACAAAAAGTGGTTTCGGCGGGCCGGGGTCCAGATCACCGAGAACAAATCTCGTTAATAGCGGCAGCTGCTGGGAAAAAGCTAAGCTATTTGTTTACACATCGAAACCGTATGAGCGCTAGGGCGCTTCTTGTTAGTCAATGTACGAGCCCCTTCCCACTTCAGTTGGCCCAACTATTGAAATATTAGTTTTTTTCGTATCAAACACAAATAATAAAAATGTAGCAGGGTGTAATAGGTTTAAAATATTAACAATGAATATTTTGATAATATATAGTAGAAAACACCAACTTTATCAGTCCCTAAACAAATTTTCAGCATAAAAATAACACATGTTGCAATTACAGCATATCAACCTATTTTCATTTCAATGCAAAATAAGTCTATAACGCATAGGTGGCTGTGAAAAATAAAAGCCATGACAATTGGTTTTATTAATCACAGCTGTCAGAATACGTTTAAAATAGTTTTGAGTAGTTAAGGTTTTCAAAATGGGTAGAGGAAAGGTTATTGGTGAGAAAATTCGGTTACTGATATTTCAATTTTTTAATTCTGGGAAATCAAACTCAGAAATTGCAACTTTGTTGGACTTGTCGCGGTACAGTGTGAGAAATATTGTTAGAAGATACAATGTAACTGGTTCAGTTAATATTAAGCCACGACATGTGAAAAAACGTAATATCACAAATGCCGACCGAAGAGCATTAAGACGAATAATCGTGAAAAACAGGCGTGCCAATTATTTACAATTAAGTGCTCTGTGGAGAGACGCTGTTGGAAGGAGAATTTCGAGGTCCACAACTCATAGAGAGGCCCACAAACTGGGATATAGCACTTGCAAGATAAGTTTTCTTATAAAAAAAGTGAAGTAAAAACCCTAAAGTTGCACAACTTGTTTATAGGCCAAAGAAAAGCCACTATTAACTCCACTGCAAAAGAAAAATCGGCTTAGATGGGCTAAAGAACATAGACAATGGACACCTCAACAATGGTGTGCAATACAATGGAGTGATGAGGCCCGATTCGAAGTTTGTGTTGTTGACAGTCGCAGTAGAGTTATTCCCAAAAAAAATGAAGCATTCCATGTTGACTGTCTGAAGAGAAACGTGAAATTTCCAGCATCCATTATGGTCTGGGGCAGTATATCATCAAAAGGAGTAGGAAAACTTCATTTTATTGATGGAAATGTGGATACAAACAAATATTTGGCAATTTGAGAAGTATCGCTTTTACCAGTGATGGAAGAATGTTTGACATCCGGCCAAGATTTTGTGTTTCAGCAAGATGGTACAGGTACAGCCATACCTCAAAAAGGGTATAAAATGGATGGAAGAAAATAATGTACCACTTTTGAAATGGGTTTCTAGCAGTCCAGATCTGTCACTTATTGAATCTTTGTGGCACGAGATGAAAAAGGTTCTACGACAACATCCTGCTCGTACAATCACCGAACTGAGACAAAAGCTTCAAGAAATATGGGATCGTTTTACACCAATTTTTTGCTAAAACTTGGTTAACAGTATGCCCCAAAGAATTTCAGCCGTAATACAAAATAAAGGTGATGTTGCCCAATGGTAATCTTTCAATTGTTGCTTTGTTAACTTCGCGCATTTATTCGCACATTGTTTATTTGTTCAGATGTTCTATTAGTTATAGGTCTCAGGCCCGTATCGTCAGTCGTTCCTACAATTGTGGGGCGCGTTTATGGCCTCCTTGATTGTCATCCTCCTTTCTCTCCTTCAAAAATTTACTAGATTACACTTGTCCCGTGTCAGCGTGTGCGCTCTCCTATTGTGAAGATATGTTTTCTTTTTAAATTGTAGGAAATTTCAGGCTGATAAAACATGATATAACTCAAAAGTAAGCACAATTTGATGCAAATAAATGTTTGTGACAAAACCTCAAAATAGAGCGCTGACACGGAGAAGTAGAAAACTATGACAATCAAGGAGGCCATAAACGCGCCCTACAATTGTAAGGACGACTGACGATACGGGCCTAAGTGATTTCAAATATGTATTTTTTACGACTAGAGTGTATCTAAAATGTTTTCGAGAAAATAAATTGTTTTAGAAGTAAATAGTTTCATCATGTTTAGTTTATAAAGGCATATTTTGGTACAAATCTTGAAGTGGGCCAACTGAAGTGGGAAGGGGCTCGTACAACACTGTGTTTTGGAGGCATTAAACTGTACCAGATTGTTGCGATGCCAAGTAGTGATAATCTCCAGGTGTCTAGTCAGAGAGGAAGTTGCTGCTATTCTTTGTTTCTCCAGCTCGCCGGCAGAGAATTTTGAATTCCTGCATGTAGAGTGGTGTCATCAGCAAAGCTGTGGATCGGATTATTCGCACATTGAAAAAGATCGCTGATATGTAAGAGGAACAATGTCCGAGTCAAGTTTCCTGGAGAGCACCCGGTTAACATTGTGTGATGAAGAGGAGAACCCGTCAATTACGACGGATATCTTGAGGCAAGAGAGGAAGTCAGCCACCACTGCAAATCTTCTCAGGGAGGCCACAGGATGGAAGTTTGCACAAGAGGGCAGGTGATTGAAAGCTTTCGTAGTTAACATTTCGCATTAAAATCTAATTTTTGTGCAAAAACTTATAAATGTATCAAATACCGAAAATAGTTACGGTTTTTGTGAATTTCACAAAGAAGCTTCGGCTGAATGAAAGCAGATCCTTTTTATCGATAAGTGTTAATGTTTCAAAGCGATTGGCATTGCGAAAGGGCATGCAGCTAAGCCTGGACAGTTGAGTAAGAATTTTGATTTATTAAATAATAATAATAAATAATAAATGGGCTTTATTTCGTACAAAGTACAAACAGGTAAAGTGTCGTTACGAGTAGCGTTTTTCAACAAATATATGCATACTACTCAACAATAACTAAATAATTAACAACACAAAAAATATTACACAATTACAAGAATAGTCCACATTTTCAGGATTTTGTGTTCATCATCAGACTTCGGCGTGCAGTTGCAGTTTAGGACTCTTTTTAAAATTAAATGGTGTGTAATTTTGGAACGTAACAGGCAGATCATTGTATAATTCAATAGCGTTGTAACTAAACGATTCGTTGTAGATTGCTGTAGAGTGTAATGGTATCACTAACATATCTCTATGTCTTATATTTAGTTTATTTACTATCAATAGGTGCCTAACCGAGCTTCTTAAATTTAAGAGAAATATGATCAAACTTTCGCATGAATATCTGTCGCACGAATGCTAAATACAGTGTAAATAGTTTTGTTCACTATATGATAGAACGAGGCCAAATATAGTGTCACAATAACTGATTTTTGACATAATTAATGTTCCCACAGTTTTAGTTTTAATGACGTAGACTATACGGAAAATGGTTCAAAATGCACTATGTTGCATTACATAATGAACTCGCATGCTTTTTGTATTTTAGTTCTGCGTCAATCCAGAGTCCTAAGTTTTTACACTCACTCATTATAGGAAGCTGGCTATTATAGATTTTAAGGTTAATTTCCGTTTCAAGCGATATTCTTTTGTTTTTTTTTGAGCAGAAAACCTAACCGAAGATTTAGATGGAGTAATATTTAGGTTATGCGAGCACGAGATGTTTACTAGCCTTGGTATACCTTCGTTGATTTATGCCTCTGAGATTTTAAAATCTTTACGTTGGAAACTAAAATAAATTTGAGTATCATCGGCATAGTGATGGATGTGAACATATTGATGGAAATCTGATATACGAGTATACAGAGAGAAAAGTATAGGACAGAATATGGAACCTTGAAGAACACCCTACTATATAGCAGTTAATTTCACCATTTTTGAAGCTAACGGCACCTTTTGATTTCTATTTGGCAAATAACAAAGTATTAAATTGACTGACGTCAGTAAAACCATAGTAAGATAGTTTTAATAGCAAAATTTCATGCTTTACCATATCCAAAGCTTTTTTGTAATCCAGTAGAACCAAATAAGTGACATTTCCTTAATCTAATAACATCGTCAGTGATATAAGCTAGACCAGTTATTGAGCTATGTTTTTTTCTGAATCGTGTCTGCATTGATGGAATCATTTAATTTCATGTTTCTTTGAGTCCTCAGTTTCAATCTGAGGTTTGCTAACAAAATTGTATTCCTACTGGAACCATACAGATAAAAGAGAGACAGCTATTAGTCAATTCTCAAAAAAATAGCCCAACTACAACCACACAACACCTCTACTTTGGAAGAAAATCGATCTCTCGAAAAAATCTGGAAATTGCGATGGAAAATTTCAACGAAGTCGTTATCGACAAGGTCCAACAATTTTTTTTCGCTGACGATGATAGTGGGCCGGTACCAGGTGGTATACATATATACCTAAAACATGTATATGTATAGATTAGGTTCCGCCGCTCCGGTGAAGCCACTTGACCGCGGGTTCCGTGAAAGGGTACCACCTCGTGGGTACCACTTTGCCCCCACCAAAAATCAGCTCGCGAACCGCATACGCTGCTGACCAGCGCAACATTTTGTTACCGGAAAATTTTAAACGAGATCTTCCTTTTTGTGGTTACAAGATCTTCATTTTTTAAATTGGTGAGTAGATATACCTTTTTATAAAGCGGTTCTCCACTAAACAAAAGTTGGGTTAATGTGGTGTAGGAAGTCACAGCACAGTTTTTCTTGAATAATCAACCAACATATTTTGAGAAGAAGCTTGTTTTATTCTTAGTTAAGGCTGGTCGATACTGAAATCCTTGGAAAAGGGAAGTATGTATGTACGTTGTCTGTGATGAACTAGCTGTGCCTGTAACTATATGTCTGTAAAATACCTTAGTAAACACTTTAACCGTACATATATATTTATTAACGATTAGAGTAGTAGGTTAATTTCTGGGAATACCATTTTTGTTGGTCGAGACAAAATGAAAATAACAGCTATTCTGTATCATATTTCAAAGTAACGCTTGATGAATTTGGGTAAATGATGTGGTCCCCAGATTACAAAAAATAGTAAAAAATGCCACTTTAGATAGCAAACAATAGTGGAGGGTAATAGGGGATAAAGGAAATAATAAGACGAAATGAACAGAAACCAGTATTCTAAAAAAGAGTATTCGCAAAAATCGTAAACGAATACATCTCCCTCGATACCGGAGCATACTTCGTGAGCTTATCCTTCACAGACAACCATACTTCTCTACTACGACTCATGGTAAAGGTTTCCTGAAAAAAAAATCATTCATTGTCAGAAGCTGATTCAGCTATCACATAGGTCGATAGTGGCAGTTCGTCATCATCTGATTCGTTGTATATAATAACAGGCTCCGACTGAGATGATGAGGATGAAGTTGTTTTTTATTCTTAGGCGCCTTCGAAGAGCCTGGGCCAGCTTCGTTGGTTATCTTTTTTGTGACATTATCGCGTGGACCATTAATGGACGCTAGTTCATCCTTATTGGACGTTGAGGTTATTATTTTCGTCTTCCCACATTTCCCCCCTCTTGTGTCTATTTTCTTTTTTAATTATAGCATGGGCATATGTTCTCTGATTGATACCTTTTGCTGTTCAGCCACAAAATCTTCGTCAGAAAAAACATCTCTTCGTACAGGATATATCCCAGTTGCACTGAACCCCCTAATGGACCTCTCCGCTGTTTATACTGTTAAATAGCCTCGTCCAAAAATTTCGCATACATTAAAATATGTTATAGCCCGACTCCCTGACCGCAAAAAAATTTTTACTTTTTCGTTGTAGAAGGTTTTTAGTGCCCCCATCACAGTCTTGTCCAGGGGCTGCATCTTATGTGTGGTATGCGGTGGTAAGCACATTATGGTGACAAAATCGTCTCTTGGCTTAATAGCCATATCTAAGTTCCTAGTGTGTGTACGAAAAGCACAGGACTTATTTTGTTTTTTCAAACCATCGCGTGAATAAATCAGTTAGAATCCATCGTGATGGATGAAATGCGAATATCGTTCTCGGAGGAGCTCCTTTTTCTGCTCGCTGCTGTTTTTCCGAGATAAGATAAGCATAGGAGGCACAAATCCCCCTGCAACTTTCATGCACCATACCACTGTAACCAGATATACATACTGCGACGTGAGTTCGCCCACTTGTTTTTTGCCTCTCATAGAAACAACTTCTGAGTACCTGGACTGCACAATGCACAACCGCGTCACGTCCACATTGTATATTCGGTCTGGAGCGGAGTTTTTATCTTCCATTGTCTTTTCCAAAAGAACAAAAAATTCTCCGACGTTCTCTCGATTGAAACCCAGAGCTCTGGCTATCCAGGTACCGGTAGGTTTTCTGAAGCTCAATATCTGTTAGTGTCTCTGCGCAAATGCATAGAGCCAATCCTTTCCAGCAGACTCGCGCAAAAATGAAAACGCATTGCAAGCTGGAACGTCACAGAACGCATATCTTTACGAGTCAAGCCAAAATACTTCTTATCCACAAGTTTTTTCTCTAATTCGGACTCAAATGAAGGATTATTTTAAAGAAATAACTAACAAAACAAGTCAGCAAAAATCAACGTTCTTGAAAAGTGCAATACGCAGTAATTCCAACTGCCACAATTCAAAACGTTAGCAGTTCAGTTAATTCACATAGGGAACATGTAATACGAGCCCCTTCCCACTTCAGTTGGCCCAACTATTGAAATCTTAGTTTTTTTCCTTATCAAACAAAAATAAAAATGTAGCATGGTGTTATAGGTTTAAAATATTAACAATGAATATTTTGATAATATATAGTAGAAAACACCAACTTTATCACCCCCTAATCAAATTTGCAGCATAAAAATAACACATGTTGCAATTACAGCATATCAACCTATTTTCATTTCAATGCAAAATAAGAGTCTAAGTTTAAAATAGTTTTGGGTAGTTAAGGTTTTCAAAACGAGTAGAGGAAAGGTTATATTAGTGAGAAAATTCGGTTACTGATATAATTAAATTTTTTAATTCTGGGAAATCAAATTCAGAAATTGCAACTTTGTTAGACTTATCGCGGTACAGTGTGAGAAATATTGTTAGAAGATATAACGTAACTGGTTCAGTTAATATTAAGCCACATGTGAAAAAACGTAATATCACAAATGCCGACCGAAGAGCATTAAGAAGAATAATCGTGAAAAACAGGCGTGCCAATTATTTACAATTAAGTGCTCTGTGGAGTGACGCTGTTGGAAGGAGAATTTCGAGGTCCACAACTCATAGAGAGGCCCACAAACTGGGATTTAGCACTTGCAAGGTAAGTTTTTTTATAAAAAAAGTGAAGTAAAAACCCTAAAGTTCCACAACTTGTTTATAGGCCAAAGAAAAGCCACTATTAACTCCACTGCAAAAGAAAAATCGGCTTAGATAGGCTAAAGAACATAAAGAATGGACACCTCAACAATGGTGTGCAATACAATGGAGTGATGAGGCCCGATTCGAAGTTTGTTTTGGTGACAGTCGCAGTAGAGTTATTCGCAAAAAAATGAAGCATTCCATGTTGACTGTCTGAAGAGAAAAGTGAAATTTCCAGCATCCATTATGGTCTGGGGCAGTATGTCATCAAAAGGAGTAGGAAAACTTCATTTTATTGATGAAAATGTGGATACAAACAAATATTCGGGAATTTTAGAAGAATCGCTTTTACCTGTGATAGAAGAATGTTTGACATCCGGCCAAGATTTTGTGTTTCAGCAAGGTGGTGCAGCGCGCCATACCTCAAAAAAGGCTATAAAATGGATGGAAGAAAATAATGTACCACTTTTGAAATGGGTTTCTAGCAGTCCAGATCTGTCAGCTATTGAAACTTTGTGGCACGAGATGAAAAAGGTTCTACGACAACATCCTGCTCGTACAATCACCGAACTGAGACAAAAGCTTCAAGAAATATGGGATTGTTTTACACCAAATTTTTGCAAAAACTTGGTTAACACTTTGAGCCAAAGAATTTCAGCCATAATAAAAAATAAAGGTGATGTTACCCAATGGTAATCTTTCAATTGTTGCTTTGTTAACTTCGCGCATTTAATTCGCACATTGTTTATTAGTTCAGATGTTCTACTAGTTATAGGTCTAAGTGAGTTCTAATACGTATTTTTTACGACTAGAGTGTATCTAAAATGTTTTTGAGAAAATAAATTGTTTTAAAAGTAAAGAGTTTCGCCATGTTTAGTTTATAAAGTGGGTTAACTGAAGTGGGAAGGGGCTCGTACAACAGACACGAACTAATAAACCGACATAGATTAGAAACACGGGCATGTGTGATGTAGATCTCTTTGAGCAACAGAAAACTTGCCGACCGAAGTTTGACTATTATCGAGAGCTTAATACTTCCATCGTTTAGGTAGTCATAAATTTTGAAAATTAATTCAGTGGCGACGGAAATAAAATTGCTGAAACATTGTGTTACGAAGTTTTAGAGATTCCTGCTTATTTTCAGACTTTGCTTTGAGGTGATGAAAATTGTAGGTTGGAAGCTGCATACGGTAAATTGTTGTAAATTGTTGCTTATTTGGTGACGGTGAAAGACCTTCCATTAATAAGATGCCGTTTATCTCAGTGATAGCATGCACGTGTTAGACATTTGAAGTCACACATCTCTTCCCTACATCTGCCATGGAAACAGAAATATGACAGATTTGCTTTATATAGAGGTCGAAGAGTCATAGTACCTAAGTGAACGATCTAATCACGATTCGATTTTCCCTTTCAAAACGATTTGACTCATTCATTTCCTTTGACACCTCTAACGAAGGGGTAGAAGGTATAGAGTCAATCTACTTGGAAATATTTACTTTTGTGGATCGCAAATGACATAGCATATTCAGATATTTTGCGTTTCATTTTCATTAATTATTCAGTGTTTTCGCGAAAAAGGCAAACTATAGAAGCAGGCAGATGTACCGGTCGAGTTTTAAATAGTGAGATGTACGAAAAGCTGTGCTCGCATTTCCGTTTGTGTATAAGTATTATAGTTGCGACCATTATAGTCTTAGTAAATGGTGCATATATTCTGATAGGATGGAGTGAGCGGTGCATTTAGTTTTCCAGGTTTTCCGAGATTCAAAGGTGATAATTGATTGTTGATTTAATTGTCAGCATTTGTTGGGTGCAATATTATTGATTAATTTATTACGGTTCTGTGACATTATCAATAGTAATTATAATTTAATTGATAAACATTGTGGTATAATTGCTCCGTCTTTTCATTATTATACGAATTATTATAATTTTTGATTCATATATACAGTGCTTTTCAGAAAGGCTGTCTCATTTACTTTTTGAACGGCTCAATTTAGCGATCTTTAGTATTAGTAAACTGCGTTCTATCATTAAGAAGTTACTGATCCCGGTAACAACTGGACAATTAAATGATAAAAGTCCGATGTAGAATGTTCTCATGTGCTCATAATTCGGAATAGCTTGGCAATCGTTGGCGTTGCGTGCACGGCGCGATGCTGCATCGTCATGGAGGCTACTGTCAATGGCTCCTAATGATTTGCGGTGGTATCGTCACTGGCACACTGCTACAGGAGAAGTATTTATCTATTTTAGCAACATTTGGATATTAGTAGTACGCACCACTTCAGCGTTCTGCGATGCTATTGTAAATAATGACTTAAATGTTTTTATACCTACACATATATTTTCCTGAATTTTATTATCCTTAAATTACCTATTACACCTAACCTCTAACTTGTGTTGTTCCCTGAACATATCTTCAAGTAAATTGACTCAGTACTTTTCACGCAATCATATACAAGAGTCACGGACTGTCAAACCGACTTAAATGAAAAACACTGATTTATGTGATACAAATATCTTTAAGCGACAGAAAACTTGCTCGCTTTATATAGTTTTATGCGCTGAGGTCGAATATTCATCTTACCAAGCTGAACCTACCTTATCACGATTTGATTTCGCCTTTTGAAATGACCTGACTCATAACTTTTCTTTGAAACCACTAACAAAGGCATAGAAAGTGCAGAGTCAATATACTTGATGCCATTTTTCTTCATCATATCACTCAGGAAATCATCTCTTAACTCTTGACGAGATACTTTATTAACAAGTTAAATTGTACACCACAATCTGTAATCTGAACTTTCCAAACTTTTAATTATGTGCATTCATTTAGAATTTAGAAGCATGAATACGCTATTTCTAGATAAATTTTCCAAATTAATAGACGGATAAATTACAGTCGAGTGATTTATCGAAGTATAACGTCTAGTGTACTACTTTATTGCAACATTACCAGTTACATTACCAGTTTCAGTACTCACTATATGAAATTTTAGATTTTGTTACACCCAATGCAAAAGTTAATTGGCTGTTGTATCGCCAGCCGTTCGGAAACTGTCAACCTTGGGGCAATTCAGAAGAGGGATTGTTTACCTCTAACATGAGATATTGACTGAGTACTTGAAATTGCAAAATTACAAGTAGATATAATAATAATAATAATAATAATAATGATAATAATAACAGCATAAAATGAAAATATCTTAGAACAAAAAAGAAATCAGATATAGAAGAAGTACCACAAATATAATCATGAAAAACTTGACCAAAGTTCATCAGATATGGGCTCGAGATTTATTCTCAAATTTACAAAAACTGCAGTAAAAATATCACATATCACAAATTTTGGTGGGATTTCGGCTCATAAAATTCGATAGTAGTAGTTTGTGCTCTTTTGTTCAGGAAATTTAAATATTATATTAATATGCCTAGATGTAATTCTAGGAACCAGAATATCTATCTGAGATAACAATAAATAGTACAGATGCTTTTCCAAGGACTGCTGATCAAATCTATGTAGTAGCTCAGGATAACTACAACCTCTTGGTGGGTACACACCATAGATTTCAAAAGCTATGAATTTAAAAAACTTCTTTTGTGCTTTTCAATAACAACGATGTATGCTATATACAGGGTGTTCCATAATTATTGCGACAAAATGATAGGGGTTGCAGAGGGCATAAAAATATGCAATTTTGCCTTATAAACCCCTGTTCGTAAATATGCCGTTTGAGCACTACAGTTAATTTTACCTTAAGAGCTCATAGGAGAAACAAAAAATTCACCAGCTGCAAAATGTTCGTCTAGCACATTTCATGGTCTCGCCGGTTTGTAGAAAAAGCCTGCTGTGTTTACATTTTTGTTATCGTACACCCGTACCACCTTTTAAAAGTCCAAGCCATGGGTCCAGCAGACTATCTGCCGCGTCGACGTTTTTGTCGTTGGTGGCTGCAGCAGGAGTTGAGGCAACCAAACTTTGGTCGCTACGTTTTGTTCACTGACGAGTCCTGTTTTACAAAGGACGGTTATTTTAATAGCCATAACAGTCACATTTGGGATGAAGAAAACCCTCATGCCATAGCCATCCATAGAGACCAACATCAGTTTTCAATTAACATCTGGTGCGGCATTGTGGACGAGCATATCATCGGGCCATATCTGCTTCGACCACGTTTGGATGGGCATGCTTATGGTCGATCCTTACAGCATGTGCTACCGGAACTATTAGAAAATGTGCCACTGAATATAAGAGCCAACATGTGGTTTCAACACCATGGCGGTCCAGCCCACTTTTCTTTACAAGTGCGGCAGTTTTTGGACGACAAATTTCCAAATAGGTGGATAGGCCAAGGTGGCCCTGTGCCTTGGCCTGCGCGGTCACTTGACCTGACTCCACTGGATTATTTTATCTGGAGCTATCTGAAAGCTTTAGTGTACGAAACTCCTGTTCCCAACCAACAAGAGCTACTGGGAAGAGTGATGGCCGCGTCCGCACATGTTCAGGACATACCGGGGGTATGCCACAGAGTTCGCCGATCATTGAACAATCGTGCACAGGTGGGTATTGAGCAAGGTGGAGGACACTTTGAGCAATTACTGTAGGTAAGCTGTTTCAAGAAACTGATCTTTTTTTTTGCTGCAGCCCAAACGGCATGTTTCCGAACAGGGGTTTATAAGGAAAAATTGTTCATTTTGATGCCCTCTACAACCCCTATCATTTTGTCGCAATAATTATGGAACACCCTGTATAAAGGACTCCATATGAGTGAGGCGTATTCCAGTTTGTATCTTACTATACTGAAATACAAAGATGGTAATGCTGAGGTGTCACTGAAATTCTTGCAATTCCTAACAATAAAATCTTGTGTGCGGCAAGCACACTTAGACACCTAGATCTTCCTAGCGCTGAATTGTCAAAAGTATACCGATAAGATATAGGCTTGGACTTGCGACTGAATGTTACTATTTTGCACTTGGTTATATTTAAGTGCAGATGATTTCTAATACAACAGTTCTGCAAGAAAGTGCTTTGTTCCTGTAAGATAATACAGCTCTCTTTATTGGATACTGACACATACCTGTATCTGTTTAAATCATCCGCAAACATTAGCTTATGACAAGTAAGTGAATCAAATAAATCATTGACAAGTAAAAATAGAAGAGGCCCCAAATTGGATCCCTATAGCACACCGCTAGTCGCAGTGTACACGTCCGATCTCATTTTATTTACACATACATACTGTCGTCTATCAGATAAATATGATTTTAATAGCAACAAATAAGTATTCTGTAAACCTAGATAGTAAAGTTTCCAAGGAGAATCAAATGACTGATGTTGTCAAAAGCTTTGGAAAAATCAGAATACTACATCAACTTGACCCCTGCTGTTCACTGTTTCACATAGAAACTGGCTAAACACCGGTAAGTTGCTGATAATTGACCGAGATTTCACGAAAAAGTGTTTATAAGTCGATATATATAATTTCTAGCAGATTGGTAAATATGATCATAATTATAATATCATTGCAAGAAGCTTACCAAACTTTTTCGAAATTGATAGATATGAAAGTGTCTTCTAAGTCTAAGTGATCAATTGCTATAACTAAGAGCAATATACGTTGGCATATGAGGTAGGTATCTTATCTAAAAACAAATCGATCGCTATAAAAAAATGGCGTCAAGCAGGTTGACTCTGCTTTCCCCACGCAACGCTGTCATCAGTTCATAAAGGATTATGTTTGACCCAAGTTAGTGCCTTTGAGCTAAAAACGTACCAAAAAGATTAAATTGATCAAGTCGGCCAAAGAGGCCTATACAGGGTCTTTCCGAAAGTCATGCTAGTATTTCTAGGGTAGAAAGTACACCCTAAAATAACAAAAAAATCCTAAAAATATGGGTTCAAAGACGAACTTTTTTATTATTTTTGAATTTACTTTTTACTCTAGAAATATTGGCACGCATTTCTGATATACCATGTATACAATTATTACATATTCCATAGTTTCTGTCAATTTGATAACACTAACACTAAAGGGTTTGGGGTGTGAAAGTCGCCGTTGCATCGTTTCGCCTATACAAAATATTTCTGTTGTAACGGCAAATGCACAAAATGATATGAATGATCTCCTACCCTCTACAATCCCCAACCCGCGATTTTCAACCTCTACAAAAATGTCTACGAAAAGGGTCAGGGCCTATTACAACAGGAACCGAAGTTTGAGCAATTTCTATTTTTTGTCTTGTTTTTGACCATAGCTCCGCCGCCACTGGACCTATTTCCAAAAACTACAAAGCTTTTTCGTCCATCGCAAGGTAGTAATCTTGTGTAAAAATTTCCAAGTTATCTATAGGAGGTCCAAAGATTAGACAGACCGATAGACAGACGGAAATGAGAGACATGGTTTTTCGTGATGTACATGAGTTATAATATCCAAAAAACATATTAACCCATATTCGAAATTTTTCGCGTTTACAATACTTCCTCGTCACTAGGCGTGGGAAGTAAAATCGTAAGTGCGACTGACAGTAAGCGCATGGGAAAATAACAGCATAGAAACATTTATATTTTGAAGAGACATCCTTTTGAGTTTACGAAAGCAAAAAAATCCATTGTTGAAAGCAATTAGTAATAAACTGTTTAATAATCAAAGCTCCTTGTATTTGATATTTATATTCATCGAAGTTTCAGATAACGTAGAAAGCTGATAATGACAAGAATATCGATAATAATATATTCTTTCTGACCATTGGAATCACATTAAACAACTTTACCTAACTTGGCCCAGACACCTGTCAATAGTAGGATATTTAAATTTTGCGAGAAACGTTTATTAGTACTAAAAAATGGCATCATAAAGGATTATATTCAGCACAAGTTAGACCTTATCGAAGTAAGACAATGCCAGAGATCTTATTTCCTATATAGAGGATAGTTACTATGCTTTCGTTCGTTGTCTGAGAGACCAAGCTTAGAGTATACTACAGCATGTTTAAGTCAGACCATCTGAGAAAAAAGCTAGTTACGAACGTGCATAACAGAGAATCAATTCCCTCAAACAGGTCCATACAATTAATCCATATATGTACATACTTTCCAGGTCCTTCCAGTTGCATCGGTCATCAGGCAACGTCGCCTGTCCCCGATACGGCTTTTTCGTCCTTTTCATAGTAGTAACATTGTACAGGCGGTACTTCTCAAGTTATAGGCGGGTATAAAATTAGCGGTCATATAAAAAATAACCTTATTTTCGAAAATTTTCACTATTACAATACTTCTTCGCCAGTAGGTGTGGGAAATAAAAAAAGAGACATTAGTTAAGATGAAGGGCCGTATCGTCAATCGTTCTTACAACTGTAGGACGCCTTTATGGCCTCCTTGATTCTCATAGGCATTTCTCTCCAACACAAAGGCTGGGGTATTTCTAGATGTCTAGTGTTCTGAGTCAGCGTCAACATTTTCCTATTATGAGTTTATTTTTCTTTTTGAATTGTAGGAAATTCCAGGCTGATACAACAGATATATATATATATATACGAGGGATGTCTTTTAAGTTTTGCATATGGAAATAAAACAACACGGTAGGTAGTTTTAAATGATTTTATAGTTTTTCGAAGTATTCTCCATGAAGATTAACACACATCTGCATGCGCTCGAACCAATTTTCGAAGCACTTATTCCACTCGTTTGCTGGCAGATCCAAAACGGCATTTTTGAATGCGTCAACTGCTACTTCCGGTGCCTGGAACCTTTGACCACGCAGTCCGTTTTTAATTTTCGAGAAAGTAACGAAATCGGGACTATATGGAGGATGGTCCAATAATTCCACGTTTTCTTCCTTTAAATACTGCCTTGTGGTTGGGCTGTGTGCGAGCTTGCATTGTCTTGGTGGAGGATGATTCTTCTTTCAGGGTTGATTTTTCGAAGCTCGGCGATGATTTTTGGCAAACAAATATACGAATCCGCAGTAACAGTTCTTTGCTCATTAAGAGGAATTGTTGCAATATGACCCGCTTTTGACACAAATGTCGCAACCATCTTTTTCGAAACACTTCGAGAACGGACGACTTTTGTTGGCTTTTCTTCACCTTAGAAAACACCCAAACAGCCGCTGTCGTTCATTTTCTGGTTCATAACAGTAAATCCACGATTCATCACCACTAATTCTGTACACATTTTTTGAGTTTCCGGAATTGAAACGGTCAAGCGTTCTTTGACACCAATTAACCCTGGCAGCTGCTCTTCAGTCAACAGGTGGGGTAACCAAAGAGAAACTAATTTTTTACTCCTAGTTCTTCTTGTAAAATTTTTTGAATTGAGGTCTTTGAGATCTTCAAGGACGCCTCAATCTCGCGATATGTCACATGTCTATCTTCAATGATGAGTTTGCGCACAGCATCGGCGTTTTCCTGGGTGACTGCCGTTTTTGGTGCACCCACCCTGGGATCGTCGCTAAGATTCACCCATTCACGTTTGCATTCCCCATACCAACGGGAAATTGTCGACTGATGTGGAGCTTCGTTGCCGAAAACAGACAGTAACTCAGGAAGGCATTCTTGTTGCGATGATTGTCTCTGAAAGTTGTAATAAATTATGGCGCGAAAATGTTCTCGGTTGAGTTCCATTTTTCTAATGACTTGGTGACACTTAAAAATTCACTGTAGTGAGAACACTGCACGTATTGTTGTGAAACTTTGAATTTAAGTTTACTAAAGAGTGAGGTTAAGATTCAGTACTGACGTTCGATCCACGCGGCCTACTATGTTTCTATATGCAAAACATAAAAGACATCCTTCGTATATAGATATATATATATATATATATATATATATAAAATAGATATTTGTAACATAATCTCAAAATAGGACGCTGACACGGAACAGTAGAAAACTATGAAAATCAAGGAGGCCTTAAAGGCATCCTAGAATAAATTGTAGTACCGAAAGTAGTGACAACGAAGCTGATCAGCTTACTGCCGAGATCGTAGTCATGCTAAGCTCCATACTAGTCAACGTTTAGAACCTGGCTTCATTGCCCATCCCCCGAATGCAGCCCTAAACTTTGTTATTTTAGTAGCTATAAAATTCTATAATGTGACTGAACCCCCTCCCCCTCCCAATTTAAGTATTCCCCAATAGACCCTAAAAAAATAAGGTTCTCTCTACATCCCTGGAATTTCTCTCATTGAAAACATATTAAAAAATAAATATTAAAAGAACCAATTTCGGGGCTCTTAATAGGCGAAACAAGGTAAAAAGGTATGTATGATATTTAAATTCCATAATATTTTACCTAGGAAGAAAAAAGCAGAGATAAATATCCTTCAAAATTATTGTCACGAGCAGGCATTATTTTGTCTTAATATTATTAGCTATCAATAGGCAGGATCAATTTTTGCGGAGAAATACAAAAAAGTACTACCCATTGGAGCTAAACAAAAACAAAAATCAGCTTCATATAGGTACTTACCGAACTACTTTAACACCTCTGCTCTGAGGTTCATTTAAATTTGCATTATTTGGCAAAAACTTTCCACATTCACATGGGGTAAATTTCGCGAATCAGCTTTCTGATAACCTTGGAGCATTGTGTTAGCACAAATAAATAAAGTACACAAACGTCGGTCCCAGTTTATATAAATTCGTATTGGTATACTCTTCACTCCGTATAAACGACAATACAAGACACAAGTACTCTATGAGGGCGACTGCAAGTGTCTGGCTACTGACGTCATGCGGTCTAGTCTCGCGTTCATGTACGTTTCCTAGCCTCGCTTTTCGTCGACGTAAATATTAATATTTTGCACTCAAATTTCTTTGATCATTTCAAGTCTTCTGCACATGTAACAAGAACAGTATTTTTATATTGTCGGCTGACGGTTCTGCTTACCTTAAAAGTTTATACACAAATGACAAAAATTGATGAATCGAATGTATGCTGTTCTTAACGCGCTAATACTGTTGTCAATATGACATCTATGGATGTGAAATTTTTGTAAACTGTCACAAATTAGTTGATAAATCTTCTTCTAAATATTCAAGTGTTTACCAAGAATATAACATTTGTCCGACTACTGGAAGTGTCCGGGGTTACTGGCACATTCACCCTAGACCTAGGGTGTGATGGGTGAAGATTCGAATTTGGCTAGCCTTTGCAATGAATTTTGTAATAGATTGCGATACCTTGTGTTGAGATTATGGCGCATAGTTCAGACCTCAAGTACATCCCAGTGCAACCTAACGTACATAAGAGAGGTTAATATGGTTATACATGGTAGAGTCAATATACGCTCTCTGACAAATGTTGGTTTACAGGACTGTAGGAGTAAGATTAAACAGTCGATAATTCGCTTCTGAGAGATGTGCGGCACGTCCGCCTGTAAAGCCAGTGGGTGGACGCAGGGACGTGTACTGAAAAAATTCTCTATCCTCAATTTTAAGGGCAAATGTACGAGGAAATATACCTATGATGTGTGAAATATGTCTAATAGGTACGTAAATATACTAACATCAAAAAATTACCTCCCTTGCTCCTTACAACTTTTGGCACTATACGTCTAATTACACGGGGTGGCGCATCGAAAACGAAACAGACGCATTTACTGGCAGCTCAGTTTTTTTTGGAAAAACGCTCAGACCCGTCGACTTTGTTTTCGAGGGGGACACAAGTTTGGCACAAAATCACGTTATCACATGCAGCCCCCTGGGCGGGGGTGTCACCAACCCTAAAATCTTAAATCGAAAGGGGGAGTCGAGTGATACCTTATTTTAAAGGTCTTTCAATTCCCTTTATAATGATATAAAATTAATGTACTTCAGTTCAGTAGTTTTGAAGATTTATTGATTTAAAGCTTAAAGTAGACTTTAATAGGTACATCAGACTAGTTTGTACTACTTTCAGAAGAAATTTGACTAAAAGAGTTTACTTAATAAGTAAATGCTTCACTACGACCATGGTTTGCTTATCATTTTGTTGTTGAAAATACCTATTGGAGCGTTTTTTTGTAGCAAAAAAGTTATTTCTTGAAGAAAGATAAGGAAATATCTCGTACTTATTTTAAATAGGAATTTAGTACATAGTTTGCGATTGATTTGACCAAACTTTGTTGCTAAAATAACTTGTAACGCTTTATTACATAAATTAACCGTGGTAGATTCCACAAAAGAAAGAGTTGAAATTATCGAAATATTATAATAATATATAAGCAGAAATATTTAATGAGCGACATGAGAACAGTAACGTGCATCGAAAATATGTTCTAGAACTTGTAGCTAAATTTCGGGAAACTGGGTCAGTCGCCAATAAAAAACGCAACATTGAAAATCCCATAAGGAACGAAGCTATAGAAGTGGGGGTTTTAGGGCAAGTTTATGTAGATCCTACGTTAAGTACCCGCAAATTGGAGACTGTGTGTGGTGTTAGTCGACGTACTGTCTAACGGATTCTAAAGAACCCATAGTTTTCTTCTGTATAAAATTCACCTGGTACAAGAACTTAATGAAGACGATTTTGATCGGCCATCACAATTTTGTGAAGATATGAGTGAACGAATTATAAACGATGAACATTTTCTATTCAACACTTAAGTTTCCGACGAATGTTCCTTTTTCTTAAATGCCGTAGTAAATCGTCATAACTGCCGATATTGGACCGATTGTAATCCCAGAATTTATCATGAGGTTCATACACAGCAGCCACAAACATTTAATGTTTGGGCTGGTATTTTTGGCGATCATTTAGTTGGTCCTTTTTTCTTACCTGGAAATTTGACCGGTGAAATGTATTTGGAACTACTGGAAGACGCCATAGATCCTGTATTAACAGCCATAATTGAAAATCAGAATGATCGGCGGTAGATTGCGAATAGGTTTATGTTCCAACAGGATGGTGCCCATCACATTACGCATTACGTGTTCGACAATATTTAGATCAGACGTTTCCAGATCGATGGATTGGTAGAAGAGGTGCCACTGAATGGCCCCCAAGATCGCCAGATTTATCACCTTTGGATTTCTTTAAGTAGTGTCACTTAAAAAGCAAAATCTATGCTACTCAGCCAACGTCATTAGAAGACCTGCGACAAAGAATTGTGAATGAGTGCCTTCAAATTACTCCTCAAATATTGCAAAATGTGCGGCAACGTTTTGAGCAAAATCTTTATTATTGCATGGAGAGTCATTTTGGCCATGTTCAACATTTACTTGCCTAACGGGTCAGTTCATTCTTCATTTTTAAATTACTTTGCTGCCAAATGTATTGATCTCCACTAATGATGATGTATTAGTTTTATTTAAGCTTTAAATCAATAAATCTTCAAAACTGCTGAACTGAAGTACATTAATTTTATGGAAGGGAATTTCAAGACCTTTAAAATAAGGTATCACTCGACCTCCCTTTCCATTTAAGATTTTGGGGGTGGTATCACCCCCGCTTAGGGGGCTGCACGTACTAACGTGATTTTTTGCCAAACTTTTGTCCCCCTCGAAAACAAAATCGATGGGTCTGAGCGTTTTTCAAAAAAAAACTGAGCTGCCAGTAAATGCGTCTGTTTCGTTTTCGATGCGTCACCCTGTATAAAAGTGCTCGACCAATAATAACTTACTTTTCAATTATCCCCAAGCCTATAAAAAGTTAAACATCAAACGAAATCCGTTCCTAATTATAAATATAACAATTTTCTCATTCGACGATTAAATGTATGTCTGAACAGTGTTTATAACTGCAGAATTGTCGGTCTGTATAAAAAAATATTCAATATCGAAACCTGTTTACATGCCTTCGTCGTATTTGTATGTACTGCCATGTTGTTCTGTTCATGAAATTGCAAAATCTTCTGACCTATCGGCCACTGGTCTCTATGATACCAAGTCAACCGGTTGGAAAGAACTGGATTTATTGATTACCGTAACTTTGACGATTTTCACTTTTGTTATTTTTATACTAAGTGACATATAAATCCGAACACCCAGTTTAAATGGTTTTATTTTAATAAAATTTTGTATAAGTACTCAATGAAGCATAATAAGTAAATGATAAAAATTTCAAAATGATTGCACTGCTTTAAAGCCCTTTGACCTTTAATAATGTGTGGATGCATCCTGATGTGCTACGCATTCTCCAACGCGCCTAGGCATGCTTCTGATCAGGTGGTCAATGTCCTTCTGTGGTACCTCATTCCAGGCAACCACCAACTCCTCTCGAAGTGCTTCTAGAGTCTGAGGAGGACGTTGCAAATTGAGCAATCTCCTACCCATCATATCCCACACGTGCTCAATTGGGGATAAGTCGGGAGATCTTGGTGGCCATGGTAACAATGTGACATCATTATGTTGAAAGAAGTCTATTGTGACTCTTGCAACATGTGGTCGGGCATTATCTTGTTGGAAAGTTGGATCTGCCAGGGTGTCAAGATAGGGTAAAAGATGGGGTTCTAGAACTTCGTGGATATAACGCTGCGCGTTCATGTTACCTCTGATGAAGATTAAAGGTGACCTGGAACCATAAGCTTTAGCACCCCAAACCATAACTCCAACAGTGTGATGAACATGTCTTTCAACAAAAAACTGTGGATTCCTCCTTTCACCACGTCGCCTTCTAACCCTGGCACGACCATCTTGCATGCTTA